CAACTGTTGTTCAGCATCTTAGCTGTAGAGGGCAGTGTCACTGGCCCTCATATGTGGGATCCGAACCGGGGCCCTCTGGTGTCCCAAGGCAGCTCTTAACCATCGCGCCACTCAGCCGGCCCTGTGCTTATTTTTTTTTAAAAAGAGTATGTTGAAAGCAAATTGGTCAAGATGACAGTTGGTTCAAAGTGACTATTTCTGGTTACTTGTTTTGAGACTTTTTAACGTGTTTATTCTATGTTTTCAAACACCAGTTAGTCCAACTTAGGACTCAGATCTCTGTGGGAATGTGAGCCAGCGTGCTCCAGTGCTTCCGACGTGTGGCAGCTCCTTCCTGACAAGGGCACCGCCCCATTGTCTCATTGATTCTTTGTAACTTATCTAGAAGGTGGGTACTATTCCTGTGCTCATTTTAAAGTTGAGGAAACTGAGGCTTGGAGAAATGAACCAGCCTGCCCCGGTCCCCACAGCTTGCTAACTTTGGTGCCAAGATGAATCCCAGAGTTCAGCATTCAGAATGGAATATGAAACCCCCTTTCTAGCCCACAGATTGGTGTACTTAAAAGTGGAAGGTAAAATAATGCTTAATGGTGTGGGTCTTGAGAAATACGTCCTCCCTACTTGTCTTTCATCTTTTAATTTTAAAATAACATTTGAAACCTGACTTCTCTTTTTAGAGCAAACCAATTAAAAAATAAAACTGTCAGGATTTCAATCCCATTGGACAACTTTTTCTGCAGGTATCCAAATTGCTTAAATATAGGAAAACGTATAATTTGAAAATAGTGAAAAATAGCTAAGTAGGTAAAGTGGACATCAGGGAGTGAAAATGAATTTAAAAGGTAAAATAACTTAGAAGGCAGATGTAATTTCTTTTAATGCCCCCAACGTGATAAAATTACCCTACATCACACAGGAGTGATCAAGAGAGGAAAGCAATCTGCTTACAGCCAGAGGCAAACTTAGTAAGCAGAGGAAGTATAATTAGGAATTAAAAAAAAATGCAAGTGAACAAAAGCAAAAAAGATGCAGAATTGTTCCAGGGTTCACAATTACCAAAAGTTCACCTAAAGCACAAACACCTTTACAAAAATTCTCAACGTAACACTTGAAATAGGAAACATATCCTGTGGTATATAAAAGCTACAGTAAGTAAAATACCTGCAACTAGAACTATTTATTCACTCATTCAACGACTATTTATTGAGACACTGCTCTGTGTCCAGCACTGTGCTAGGCCCTAAGTCCACAGCAGTGAATAAAGCAGACCACGTCCCTGTCCTTGCGGAGCTGACGTTCTGACGACAAACGAGTGATTAGATAAAAGGATGATTTCTAAATATGATAAACTCAACCACTTTGCCACACTGACCAAATCACCTCGATCGGACTCAGCACATCAGACCAGCCAAAAGGGACTGAGGAGGCTCTCTTGTCTAGTGGTTTTCAGAGTTTGTATTAGCAGCAGAGCCTGTGTTGAAAGAGCATCTTCTATGGTGAGTGGCTGTGATGCAGGAGGCTCCTTAGGCCAGTGAGCCAAGAACCTTACCCAGATGGACCTAGAGCCTTAGCGCAGAGTGGACACAGCACCCACAAAAAGCCAGAGCAGGAGGGATGCGAGAGGCCCTCTCAAGCTGTGCTTCTCACACACTGGCAGGGGTCTGTGGTGTGATTGTCACGGTAGGGAGTACTTGTCAGCCTCCTCCCCTGTATTTGCAATTATGCACGCACACTCACCCCATCCCCCCCCCACACACATACAGCCCCTTCCGAAGGGCTAGCATTGGCAGGTTTGTGTCCCATTCCTCAGCCACAGCTGATTGGTCCAGGGGAAGAAATCTGACTGAGGCTGGACCAATCAGGGTCTCTGCTGGGCATTTGGGGTTCGGATGCTGAGAGACCGGGCCAGTTAGTAGTCTGGCAGGAAAGAAGCCTATCACTCACTGCAAGTGGCCTTGTGCTGTTTCCTACAGGTGCCTACAGGAAAAGGGCCACAGATTGCCCCTGCTGAGGTTTGCAAGCCCTTTGCTGCCTTTCCTGAGACTTGCCCCCGGCCTCTCTGAAATGCCCTATTGTAGCCTTCAATAAGCTTCACTTTATCAGGAGGTTGGCGTAAGTTTCTTCTCATGATGCAGTTGCAATCACATCATCAATTGAGTGAGTTCGCAAAACACTGGGTAAATAAAGCCGCGTGAATTTCTTTACTGCAGGACTTTACAGAGGCTTTAATATGCTGAGAGATATGCTGAAAATCAATCACTATTGATTTTCCAAGATGGAGCCAAGGTCTGTGGTGTTTCCAAACTTGTGGGATATACCTTACCTGGCTAGTGTTCTGCAGAGCACCCTTTGGGGAGTGCCCAACTCATTGTACATACAAGTAACGGAATTAAAACACAGAGTGAGGTGATCTCCCCAAGGTCACACAGCTGGTTTTTTGCAGAGAAGGTTCTGGCACGCAAGGCCTCCCAGTGTTCTTCCCACCACGCCCTGATTGATAAAAGGTTTCCTTGGATGGATGATGCACGTACTGGGATTTCTAGGCCCAGGTGGGTGGTAGGAACTCAGGTCCAGTGTAGACACAAGGGAAAGGGTGGGGTCAAGAATTGAAGGTCAGGCCTTGGCGAGAGAAACTCTGTGTCCCTTGCTCGTGGGTGGTAGCCGTGGCTTCACCAGGGTATGAGAGCTGACAGAGGTCTTCGGGCTGGGGTCCAGCGGCCCGGCCACTCCAGCTGATGCAGCCTCCCATGCCTCCCCACAGGCTGCAGGAAGGCTGAACAAGAAAGGAACTTGGCTGTCCTTGGCAGGGCCCGCCCAGGCAGTCAGCGCCGGGATGACGAGGGCTGTAAATCAAGCCTGTGGACCACAGACCCAGTGCCATCCCCACGGGTTTCCTTTCCGCTTCTTAATCCTTCTCCTCAGACTCGGTAACAAAAAGCAGATTCCTGCTGGGGCCAGCCGTGCACCCTGGGCTGGGAGAATGAGAGCCTGGACTCACCACATCAAGATGTTCCCTCCTCTCACTTTCCCTTTTTCGCCTCTGTTAGCTAGATGACACGCCCTCCTCCTGGCCCAGCTCCCTTGCACTCCTTGGACCCCCTTTCCAGCCTTGCCCCAGCTTGCACCTTGGCTGGCTGCCGAGCCCGGCCACCCCAGGACTGTGGTTCACAGGCCCTCCAGCCTCGTGGTTTGGCTCCATCCCGGCTCCCTGAGCCTCCGTTTCAGCAGGAGCAGCCTCTGTGGCACAGAATAAACACTGCCGATCTGGATTCAAATCCCGATGCTGTCAACTTCTAGCACTTCTTTCTTTGAGCTGGGGATTGCTCACCTCTGAGAGGCGGATGTGAGGAAGCTCCCTGGCATGTCGGAGGTGCCTGACAAACGCTTTGCTTGAAAAATAAGTGCTTAGCTGTTTGTTCAGGGCTGTTGCAAGAATCCGGAGAGAAGTATTTGGAACTGCTTTATTAAGGCTGTGCCGGGCCGGGTTAAGGGACTGCTGTTACTTGTTTGCGTGTTCTGCGTGGACTGGAAGCCCTTGCGGAGCCTCCCCACCAGCTCTGACTTCCCCCAAAAGCTAAAACCCCAGCAGCCCCTATGACCTTTCCATCTCCTGTCCCTTCCTGGTAGCAGGTCACACCCTCTGGTCAGTTTTCTCACGATCAAACACCAAGTTCAGCTGCCAGTGTGAAGTTTCCGAAGGTCAGGACTGTGAGGAACTTTTGGTCTAACCTACAGATTTTCAAATTGTGCTCCTTAGTGCCCCGAGTTCTCAAGATGTCCCAGGGAATGCAATGTTGGAAGGAATGCAATAGGACTCTGGGTCCCCTCTCGATGTGTCCCTTCTACGTCGCTGCTCCAAATAGACCAGAACCATGATTATCTGTGTTCTATGTTAGGATCAACAGCTCAGACTTCATTTCTACTGCTTAAAAGAAAGTTTGGGGGGATGTGACTGGTTAGCTCACTTGGTTACAGCGTCATGCTGATAACACCAAGGTTGCTGGTTTGATCCCCACATGGGTCACTGTGAGCTGCGCCCTCCCTAAAAGAGTCCACTGTGCCATTGTAGCATGAAAGCAATGTGTAACCAATGACCATGGCTGTTCCCCAATAAGAAAAGGAAAAAAAAAAGAAAAAGGATGTTTGAACATTACTGACCTGCTCCAGTTGTATCATTTTAAAGATGAGGACACTGAGGCACAGAAAGTTAAGCGACTTGTCTCCGATCATCCAGCTGGCAGGTTGCAGCTAGTCTGCCTCTTGACACCTGCTGTGGTGCCCTTGTCTACAGTGTAGGGAAGAGGAGCTGCGGGCGGCCATCTCTGTGGGGGCAGGCCTGACTTTGCTTCCCTCAGAGGTGTGACTGGGGCATTGCCATCTAAAGACTAGGTGGCCCTGAGCGCCCTCTAACCCCTGCATCCCTGCCCATTGCCACAAACCCACACAATCAGCAGTGGCTCTGAAATGCCAAGGGGGTGAGGAAAGGGGCAGTGTGGGCTCTGGAGGCAGCCAGTCCTGGGTTTAAATGCTGGCTCCACCACCTTCTGAAGCCCACAAGACGCAGTCCCCTGCCTGAGCCAGACCGGTCCCTCCCAGGGCAGCTGCAGTGATTAAGTGAGAGGAGGTCTGGCACCTGGTACTGGTCAGCCTTCTGGAAACGAGTCAGGACAAGTAGGGGCGGCTTCTGATGGTCGGTTGTTTCTTTCAGGAGTGACTGGCCATGGGCTAGACCAAGGACGCTGCTGTGGGCCCTCTTTCCAGTCGAGCCTGAGGAGAAGGTGAGCTCGCCAAGTCCAGCCTCATCTTCTCCAAGAAGCTGCCAGATGCTCAGACCACTGCCTCTCAGGGTCAGACAGGAGCACGCCTGCCTCCCTCCCCCTCCTGCCCTCCCCCAGCCACTCCGCAGGGACTTCGCACTTTGCCCTCTGCCTGGTCGGGAGGGGAGAGCTCTGCCTTCCCCTTGCCCGGGGCCCGAGGCCCACCATCCGGCTGCAGATGTTCATTGCCAAAGATTCCACAGAGACGCTGAACAAAACGCGGTGAGAAAACCCCACAGTGAAAAGCCACACCGTCGCCCTATGACTTTTGCTCCTCCTGTTGCCCAACTTCCATCTCAAGCCAAAGACGAGTCAGCAATTCCACTAGGAAATCACGGAAGGGATGGACATTCGGTGGCTATTGGAAGCACCTGACCCTCTACCCTGGACCTGTCTTTCTACGCGGGGCCCTGAGCTAGCTGGGCACTAGATAAGCCTCCTCGGGCTGTGAGAGGCAGGCTAGGGATGCCGGTAGGGAGTGGGGTCTGAGATCCTGGCCCCCTTTTCTCCCTCCCACTGGCTGCCCAGGTCTCTGACACTGATTCTTAATGTCCCCTTCTTGGGCCCTGAGCGTCAGGGGAATGGGGTAATTGGGGGAAAGAAGCAATACTGACCACCCCTGCCTACGGGTCTTTGCACCTGAGCCTGCCCAGGCAGCCCAGCCAGCCACTCCTTACCTGTGGCCCGCCTACCTGGCTGGGCAAACAGGATGGCACCCTGCTTGGAGGCCAGTGGTCTGTTACTGGCTGTGCAGGGGGCAGAAGGGAGGAAAGGACCAGGGGAATGGGCCAGTATGTCCGGGAGTGGGACACGTTGAAAGCCAAGGCCTGCCCCTTTCTTTGCTCAAGAGGCCAAAGCTGTTCACCTCTGTGCTCATCCATCTGCTTCAAATTGAAGTAAAAGCCCCAACATGTAAAGAAAACACTCTCTCGTGTTTAGTGGACTCTGTGGGTGGGGTGACCAAGACTTTGGCCGGTCAGTGGTGGGGGCGGGGGGAATTGGGGGAGGAGAGAGGTCGGTCTCTGCTTAGAGGCTGAGAGCCCTCCAGGAAGTGGGCAGTGTGTGAATGTGTGTGTCTGTGTGTGTAAAGGGGTAGAGGAGGCCCTCACTATGACCTCAGCCAGGACTAGTGACCAGGAGGCTTGGTCAGGGACATGTGGGGAACTCTTTCCACTTTGTACCTCACTTAATCCATACCAAGAGTTTATGAGGTGTGGGCTCTATTTTTAATCCCGTTTTATAGATGAGGAAACCAAGGCCCCAAGGAGACAGGGCCAATCAATGACAGCTGGTTCTCAAATCAGGGTGGCCTCCCTCCAAATTCTGTGTTCTTAACCCCTTTCCAGCCCCATAGTCCAGTCCCAGCGCAGTCTTTGAGCAGCTTTGTCACTGCACTTCATTCACCTCAGTGGGCCTAAGATAGGGACAGTAAAGGCCCACTGGGGATGGCGGAGGGAGTAATAAGATTAGGAAAGGACTGTCGGGGTGGAAGGGCTGTGTAGGTGGGGCAGGGCTGCCTCAGAAGAAGGCAGGTGCTGAGGAAAGAAGGATGTACTCCTGCAGGATACAGATCTGTCCCTTGGTTACACCAAGGTCGTCCTCTTTTATCTGTTCCTCAGGCTCCTGGGCTGGGGCTGGAGTGTCTGTGTGTGGAGTTGGCTGTCGGGAGCCTCCTCTTCTAGCACCCATGTTTTCCCTCGCATGGCTCTTTGCCAAGGACCAAAATCTGGGCCAGAAGCAGGGGACTCAGATCGCTCAGAGCGTTCCTCCTAGCAAAGGTGCCACAGAAGCAGACCAGACAAAGTGGGCTTGGAATGGGGGCTGATAGGGGACAGATAGGAAGGGGACTCCGGGCACCCTGGTACTCTGTCACCCTGGTACTCAGTTGTACCTCTGAACTTCTGAGTAACGCTGGTAGCAGGAAATGTGGGCCAATCAGCATCAAACTTCTTGACACCAGCGGGCCCTTTCTGTTACCAAAAGGCGGGGGGGATTGCCCCCATCCCACTGCCAGGGGACCAGACCCATGGCCTTACCACCCAGAAACAACCCATGGCCTCCCCTCCCCACACCTCTCCTGTTCACAGCCTTCATTACACACTTCCCTGTCACTCCCTAGCATCTATTGATTGTCAGCTGCATATCAACACTAAGCTAGGTATTGGCAATAGAGAAATGGATCCCAGGTAGTGCCTGTCTTCACAGAACTCATCGTTTTGTACAGACAGACAAGCAAATAATTATGATATAGCCGGATGACTAAGATGTTGTTGGGAGCTTCAGGAAAGAAAAAAAACTAACTCTCCCTGGGGAGGTATCAGGATGGCCTTTCCTAGAAAGGGGCCATGGGAGTTGGGTCTTGAGGGATGAATAGAAGTTTTTTGTGCAAAGGAATACTTAGCCCTGACAGGACATTGGAATCACCTAAGGAGAATTAAATATTTGTATAAAGTATTAATGCCAGCCACCAAAGTCTCATCTCCATAAATTCTGATGTATTGGCCTGGAGTGTGGCTGGGGCACGGAGAGTTAGAAAAGCTCCCCAAGTGATTCTGATCTGCAGGCAAGGTTGAGCCACTGATTTAAGTGGGCTTAGGTCTCTGACAAAAAAGTGATTTAGAATCACTGATTGTGGGATACAGGCTTTGCCAAAAATGTGGAGGGGTGTGTGTGTGTGTGTGTGTGTGTGTGTGTGTGTGTGTGTGCGCGCGCGCGTGCACACAAGTACACACACTTGTGTGTATATGACTGATGAAAAGTCCATGCTGTTCTTTTCTTTTCCAGCTTCTTCCTCAGTACAGCAGCTTGTGTTCTTGTACATCACACACACACACACACACACACACACACACACACACACCTTCTTGAGTGCACATGCATCTCCAGACACATGCTTGTATACATTCCCGGGTAAGGGAAATCCATTTCAGATAGATTCAAGTTCCATCAACAGTCTCTAAACAGTTTTCTGTAAGCAACCATGCAAGAAGACACTCACCAAAATAAGAATTTTGAAGAGCCACCCTCCTGGGGCCTTGTGAGGGCATTCCCAGGCCAGCTGAGGGTTCATGGTCACAGAGTCATCTGCAGATTTGTTTTCGGCACACCCTCCTTGCTTTGTCACTTGCTCTGGGTCCTAGCCCTGCATGCCAGTGATGGCTCATCAGCCACCAGCCACAGAGGGACAAGGGGACCCTCTTCAGGGACCCTGGAGACCTATGTGAGAGGCCCATGTGTGCACCTCTGTGTGCATGCCTCGTTCCTGTGGTCTCCATGCTTCCTCCTCTTGGCAGGACAAAACCACAAAGAATGGCTTCAGCGTTGGAGATCTCCCCAGCTCACAGGCTGAGCCTTACAAGACTCTTCAAAAACTCCATGCACATAGGCTGCACTGCTTCCTGGTTGTGGCCTCAGACTGCCCCAGAAGAGAGGCTTAAGTTCTGGGGAGGCGGATTCCACGAGTCCCTTTCTGGGCTCACAGCATGGCCAGGATCCGAAGTGGATTCCATCTCCCCACACTGTACTCCTTCCTGACCCCATGGCCCCACCACTCTGTTCTTCCTTCCACCTCACCATGTCCTCCAAGACCCTGTGCTGTCCTATTTCTTTTCCTGATCACCCCCTGACCCATCTCCCCTTTCTCACCAGCCAGCGAGGCATGAGTGGGCAGGTCCCAGGGGCTGAGAACTAGAGAGCATAGTCATGTGCAAGGACTGTGCTGGGAGCTGGAGGAACAGACAGAGCCCCCCGTGCCTGTGATACAGGGCAGAGACGGGACAGCCAATTAGGCTGAGCCATGTGCTGTGGTCAGCCATGGTAAGCCTGCTAGGGAGCTGGGGCAGGGACTGCATTTGCCTCCCTCCTTCCACGCTGTTTCCTGAGCTACAAAGTCGTCACTGCCAGCAGCCAGAGTGACAAATAGCCTGGCTTTTTCAGAGCAAGTTTTGGACATCTCCAAGTGTATCCTTCAAGGGGATTTATATTGCCATTCTCGCTCTGACCTCTTGCTGCCACCCTACCTACACAGCTGCTTACTGTTTCCAGGCTCCAGGGGGACAGGGAGGCATGGAGGGGGCCCTGCCTGGGCTGGATGGGGCAGGGAATGGGCAAAGGGCAGCTGGCCTCTCCCTTTTCTCCATGGGCTTTCACCTGTCCATGCATCTCCCCTCTGCTTCCCTGGACCCCAGACAAGTTATATCTGCCTTCCTGAAGCCAGGCTCCCCCAGGAACTTGGATTTATAAATGATGACTTTGTTTTACAGATATTTGGGCACATGTCTAATCTCCAGATAGTGCTAAGAATTCCTAGAGGGCGAAGATTGGGTCTATTTCATCTCCAAATCTTTGAAAAGGTCTTGCAAAATGTGTATATTGGTTTCTTTGTTAAATGAATGAATAAAAATTGGAAAATATGGTAATTCACGCATTTATTTTCTTCCTTCCACAAATAACTACCAAGCAGCTAATTTGTCCAAGACTCTGAGAGAATGGGACACAGGCCTTTCCCAAGGCCTGAAACAGGCTCAAAGGGAGAAGGTCCAGACAGAGTGGAGTCTGGGCTTGGGGTTTTTTGCTCTTTCTTGGCTGAGCCTTTGAGAACTGAGCTCCTGCAAAGAGGCAAGCTTCATAGCACCCTCATAGCCTGGCATGTAGTAGGTGCTAAATAAACACTTATTGAATGCGTGTGGATGAATGCATGAACCCTGCCACACTCCCTTACCGCCCCAGCTCAGACACTAATCAGTTGTGGTTCTTTTTCTCAGGAACCCTGAAGCTGCTTGAGTTCATGACACTGTTCCAGGCAGTCACTGTGAATCAATTGAAAAGATGCGCTCTCTTTGCCATTTTGGTCTCAGGGTTGTCCTGGGGTGTTACAGTGGAAACATCCTCAGGCCAGCCTTCTGGGGCACCACCAGGGTGATGTGACTGAGGCTATGTTAGGGTGTCCCCTGTTATTGCTCATGGGGCTGTGTGGCCACCTTCTGGCTGGCCTCCCTCCCCCTCTCTGATTTGTTCCTGGCTGACCCTTCCTCTGCTATGGCTGATAGAGGTTTATTTCTGAGTCCCTCCCCTGTGCCCATCACCTCATGTCAAAGTCCAGGCTCCTTAGGTGCCCATCGGACCTTTCACAGGTAGTCGCATCCTCTCCTCTAGCGTCCCCAACAGCTCTCCGGTCACCACGACTCCCAGTTTGGCCATCTAGGGGAACTGTCTGAATCCCAGCCTGAGATCCTAACAGCCCCGCTTTCTCAGTCATGTGCCAGTTTCCTTTTCTCTGACTGCCTACGAAACAAGATTCTTTCCAGACCCTACTGTTTGCCGCAATGGAAACCGTTCTTTTTAATCTAACTTTCCTCTGCATCATATCTACCCCAGGACCCCTGGTGCCCCCTAGAACTCTAGTTCTCTCAATCCCAGAACCTGGGCAGGCTTAGAGACCCTGCTTTTCCCAACAGCAGTGGCCTAGGTGCCTGTCCTCCCATCTTAAGTGCTCTTGTTCACATACAAATAAAAGTATATTCCCCATTGCCCATTTTCAATGGGAAGCCCAGTATTGCCCCAGATCTCTGAGGTTTCTTGGGGGCTTATATCCCCATGGTTATCCTTGGTTTTGATCTCTTGGGTCCTCTGAATTCATAATCTCTTTCTCTACTGCTCCCTATGGCGGATGCCGTCTCTCTACCCTGCTTTAGCTTAAGGGAGCACAGCCACCTTTCCTTGGCTCCCTCAAAACATCACTCATATAAGGCAGTTGTGTGTAGAGGAATTATTTTTCTCTTTCTTAATGATTTAAAAAAATGTTTATACTCACAAAAAAATAAACAAGACCTTGCCATTTTCTTCTCAATTTATTTAGCTGATTTCATATGTTTTTGACAGGTTCATCATGTTTCCGGCAGTTCAAACTATTTTCCCCTCTGGCTTCACTCCCTGGCAGTTCTGGGCTGTAACTCACACAAAGTTGTCCCATAGCTGGGGCTTGAATCCAATCTTTTTTCTTTAGCCTAACATCCTGCTACCCAACCCCAGGTCACCATCAAACCTGGTGCTCACTCACCCTCAGCTGAGCAGTTATCCAGGGTCTCCTCTCTGGGAAGAGAGACACATCCCCTGGACCAGCCATCATCCCACCCCGCAGAGCCCTGAACTTAGCCCTGTGCCAAGCCCATACCCCAAACCACAGTCAAAACCATCTGGCCCACAGACACCATGCATTCATCCTCTGGGTTTTCATTTCCAACCCCACAACCAGAAGTTTCTAGGGAATTTCCCTTTGCACGCACACACACGTATGCAACACACATATCTTTTTTTTTTTTTCTTAAATAAAGAATCCAAAATGCTTCCAACTCCCAGGAAAGAGATCTCCATTTTTGAAGAAGAAAATGGAACCAAAAAAGTAAGCTTTGGGGTACACTTTGGGATAGCTATGCTTACCTTTATTTTCTATATAAAAATTAGAGCAAGGGGTTTGACAAAGGCTTTCATGCCTTTTCTATATATGAGAGGCAGCCTAGGAAGCCAAAACTTGCAATTTAACGAAGAGCTCTAAGATGAATGGGACCAGGCCTTCTAAGGACAAAGGGTTCAATTGTCCTCTCCACTGGGGATCACGGCATAATATATCCCTTTCATAAAGGCTCTGAAAAGTCCTGCAGTAAGAAAACCCATTTAAAATTGAGAACTGATTGTCTTCCAAGCTTATCTGAAGCACTTACTCTTTAAATTGTTTTTATTGTGGTAAAATAACATTTATAATTTTAATCATTTTAAAGTATAGAATTCAGTGGCATTAAATACATTCACAATGTTGTGTAACCATCACCACTATCTATATTCCAACCTTTTTCATCCCCCCCCCAATAAAAACTCTGTATCCATTAAACAATAACTCCTCCCTTCTCACCTCCATCCAACCCCTGATAGCCTCTCTCTATTCCACTTTCTGTCTCTGTGACTTTGCCTATTCCATTTACCTCATGTAAATGGAATCATACAATATTTGTCCTTCTCTGTTGGGTTCATTTCACTGAGCATAATGTTTTCAAGATCTATCCACATGGTAGCATGTATCAGAACATCGTTTCTTTTTATGGCTAATGTTCCATTATGTGGATATGCTACATTTAGTTTATCCACTCATCTGTTGGAGGGCACTTATTGTTTACTTCATGCCCCGATCTCTCATGGGACACCAAGGAGGGTCCCTGAAACACAGCTTGAGAACTGTTAGTGTACGGAGCCACTAGATGTTTGGATTTTAGATAGGCCAGGATTTTCTTACCCACACAGTTGCCCCAGGCACTAGGAGGGCTCTGGTCTGCTTGGTTTCCATACTGAAGGCAGAGGCTGAAGCCCTGTGAGATGAAGCCGTGTGGAAAGCAGCCAAGAGGGGTGGTCAGCGGTCTTCCCTGGGGGAAAGCAAGGGAGAGCCTTGTCCTTTAACCCTCACAGGACATGTGGCCCTGCTGTGCTGTGGGGCCCCGCTGAAATGACTGACAGCTCAGTGTTGGTGACATCTGTCAGGGCTGCCTTCCCTGGCTTTGAGGACAGGACTGGACAGCAGCCAAGCTTGAGGGGAGCAGTTGCCTGAGAGGCCCTGGCCCCCTTTTGGCAGCCTCACAGGTGCTCCCTGTCCTGCTCCTCCAGGGAGCTGGACAGGCTGTTCTGAACCACTGCCCCCTCCCTGCCTTTCCTTGTCAGCACTTCCCATAGAGACCCCTATCTAGCAGGCAGACCTGCTGGGGACAAGTGGGGTACGTGCTCTCTGGGCTCAACCCCCTTCGCAAAGGGTCTCTGCTGCAGCTCTCTTCTCCCACAGGAAGGGATGTGGGAAGGGACAGTGAGGAAATACCCAGGGTCCAGGCTCCTGTGACTAGGGGAGAACATGGGCCCCCCTGGGAACCTGGAAGCCCTGGGGTCTAGCTTGGCCTGACCTTCAACTCTGTGTGTGCCCCTCTTGAGTACAAGTAGACAGGGGCTCTGTGACTCAAGGCCCCTCACAGTGATTTCCTGTGCTCCAAACTTCCTTGTCCTGCCTGTTTGCCAGGCTCAGGGCTTAGATTACAACTCCCCACAGGAGCTCACATAGAGCCTGAGCCTTGTTCTTACTAGAATGGCTATATTTCACTGCCTGAGGGGTTATCTTTTGAGCCAGATAATTATTTAAAGGTGCAAAGACCTTTCGGAGTTGTTAAAGCAAAAACAATAGAGCATCCCTAGAGAAACTACAAGTAAATGAGTGTTCATCCTTCTAATCTGGGTACAGGTCACCTCACCAGACCCCAGACCTGCCTTTCAACTAAAAGTCCTTTAACCTTTGTCCAAACACCATGCACCTTGGGTCTCCCAGGACACCCCCTATTTTCCACATGTTACTATTACCTGCCTGTCCATCCACCTTCCTGGCTCAGTTGTACATTCCTGGAGAGTGCTGTGCACCTCTGGCTGCATGGACAGCCCTCAGGACCCAAAGCGATGCATAGTGCTGCTGGCCTGGGTCAGAAGGGCACCTTGGCTTCTCTGCCCTGGTGAGGGGTTGCAGGGTGAGGGTCCTGCCCATCCCACTCCAGCCCGCAGGTTCAGGTGAGGGAAATTCAGGTAAGGGAAAAAGGTATTAAGTAGAGGAGCGTTTGCAGTGTGAACTGAATCAGGAGCGGGAGCCGGATGGAATGCACAGAGGGAACCAGTGAGGGCTGAGTTTCCCCAGTCCAAAGCTGTGCACAGGATTGAAGTGACAGCGCTTTACCCGCACGACAAGGTGGAGGTAATCCTGCTTGCAGCCAGGCTGCTCTCTGTTCTTCTCCCTCCTCTGCCAGAGCCCGTTTTGCCTCTCTTGGGTCTTGCTTCCCCTCAAAAGCCTGGTGTCCTTAGTGTAAGGATTCAACTGGCAGCAACATTTCCCAGGCAGCCCCTGGCATGCAGGTTATCACAGGTGTCAGGGACGAGGACGTTGGTTCTCAGCCCTGCCACTCACTGGCTGTGTGACCCAGAGCAAATCACTGCCCTCTCTGAGCCTCAGTTTCTCCATTTATAAAATATGTGGTCGGAGGACATGGGACTGAAGCCCCTTCCAACTACATAATTCCATCTTTCTAGGAAATATCACTCAAAACCAGGCTGAGTTAAAAATCTGCTTAATTTCTACTCTAAATTCACCATTTTAAGGCTGCCCTGCCCCACCAGGCATCACCCACAGTGGGAAGTGAGAGGCATTTCATTCCATCTGCTTTTCTCACTCAGGACTGGCCTCAGCTAGCCTGTCTCTCCCCAAGCCCTCTGGCCCCTCCCAGGGCTGTGACCTTCCTGTGGCGGGGCCCTTGGTCAGGGGCTCATTTCCTCCTCCTGGTTTGAGCACTTTCCCAAGGAGCCAGCGCCTGTCCCTGCTGCCCGGATGCTTCCTCAGAGGCAG